ACTTCTGTACTTTCAATATAATTTTCGCATAAAATTTGGGAATTTTATCTGTAATATGTAGAATTGGATCTAAAATATTTGTTTTCAAAAATAAACATTTTTAAATGACATTTTTTACTCAAAATATATAAAATCCAAATTTTAGATCAAATTCCACAATTTTCCCGAAATAATTGGAATTTGGTCTAAAATTTTTTTTAGATCTAAGTCTACTTAGATTAGATTCTTTTAGATCAAATTGCCCTTAGATCAAAAGGATTATAGATCGATTTCCTATGCACCCTTCACACTATTCACACTATTATAAAGTGCACCTTTTAAACTCACATGGGTGCCCAATCACATATACATAGGTTTATACTAGTATTCCAAAAGTAAGAAAGTAAGAAAAAACAAAAGAAAATCCTCAATTTTTTCCTAAATTTCAACAGAGTTAAAGAAAATCTACCGAAATCGTTTAAAAATATGCTCAGCTTTGTACTTAATCGTGTATATAGGAGACCCATGGTTTCTTGCTAAACAATTTGCCTCGAACAATTTTACAATTTTCAATGCAAACTACCAAAACTACCAAAAAACAAAAACTAAAACTGATGTTTTCTTAAATCAATATTCATGAAAATCAATAATCATTTTGTTTTCTTGTACATACGTATTTTTTTCATTCAACCTGTTTTCTGTTGTTTACAGACAGGCAACAGCGTCGCATATAGCGATACAAGGATTTCAATTTCGATTGATATAAAGCCTTTAAACCGCATGGATACACCTAAACATATAAAGAAAAAAAGATTTGTCAATAAAAGAGCTTCTCTTTAATTACTTGTAAATTTATATTTCAAAAAAAGCTTTTTAACAATAAAAATTAGATAAAAAATCGTCTTCAAAGTATTGATATAATCGCCGATCACCGTAGCAGCAACGGGATCAAATTTAGTGATAATTTGTTTTTAAAACATAGAGGGCAAGATGCATTCGGTTTAATGATAAAAATTCAGCAATCTTTAAACTTACGGATTTTTTTCTACTTTTTCGTTGAAAACGCATAAACCAAGAAAATGCGGGAATTCACAGTTCTCTGGTATGAGGACGGAACTGTAAAATCCCTGTGATTTAGTTCTTATGGTTTAAAACAGAGACGTATTTATTTGTTACCTTTCATTACTTAAGTATCTATCAAACTCTAAAGTTTGCTTTTTAGCCACATTTTGACACGTCTCATTTAAATGGCTCTCTTTAACACCAGCTTTACGAATATTCGAATATATGAAATATTCGAACAGATAAAATTGACAAACCAAGCTTTCTTTAAACTGTTCATTTTCATTTGTGAGTTTTCTGTAAAGGTGACTCGGGCATTTCTTGCTTAAAAGAAACAATCGAGAAGATTACAGAAATAAACACTTGTAAAGTCAGGAAATCGACATTGTTTCCACATTTTTTTGTAAAGCATGGATCAGATTTAAAATCTAGAACTTTAAGAATAATTTCATCACCCTCCAGTGCAAAGATTGCAATGTCCGATTTACAACGGTACCCTAAAAAGCTTTGTCCGATCTAGTATGAATTAGATGTTATGTCACGCACCTCTGACCCTTCAGTAAAAGTAAATTCAACCTAAAGTCTGACTGTGTCAACCTTGTTGCACCTGGTAGTCCTATTGAGTGTCTGCTTTCTTTATCCAATGTCCGGGCGATACAGTACAAACTGGGACCGGAAAGATTGACCCGGCTCGGAAATTCAAATGTACTACGGCTGTACTGTTTAGTGTTCATTTTCATTTGTTGTTTCGCGCTAAAGTAACTTGCGCATTTCTTGCCATAAAGAAATTATAGAGAAGTTCAGAGAAATAAACACTTTTAAAGTTAGAAAAACGATTGTGGGTTTATAAACTTTTTTGAACACAATGAGGTTTCCAAGTGTTAGGACTATCTGTTATACTTGAAATTACTTCTCTAAATATCTTTGAATTCTTGAGAAACTTACAAAATATTGTAATAACCAAGCTGTAGAGTATTTGTGAAGCTTATCAAATATGTGGTTTGGAAAACTTCAATATTTATTTAAAGACCACATTACATGACAATATGTCAAGAGTTATACATACAAGGACTCGTGTCGTGTGGCTCGAATGATAAGATGCAGCTAGGTAATAGATTATTTTATAATTTTCTAATCTACAGATTTAGTTTAGTTTCATACGTCCCCCAATTCTCATCTACATATACTCCAGATTACAGCTTATCATATATCATTGATCAATGGATAGATGGAAAGATTGATAAGAGAGAAAATCTGGCGCCTGGCACAAACTAAATACTAGGAAACATTTCATTCCATTATTTACTATCATTGTTGTTTATTTGGATGCAACATGTGAAAATTAGTAGAAAGATAAGTTTCATATTTTGGTGGGTTGAACTAGATGTGGAAGAGACATGACTGAAATATTAATGCCCCGTTCCGGCCCAATATATTGTAAAGGGAGACTTCTCCAAACCTTTAAACATAATATTCAATTAGGTTTGATTTGTCTACCATAACTTGGTTAAATGTTACTAGCTGTGTAACTGAATGTAAATTTTGTTTTTTCCATTGAAAAGAAAAAAAGCCCCTTTAACAACGCTACCTATAGACGGTGCCAGACCCTTTAAATGTATGTTTCATTTTGGACAAAATTGTAGTTTTTTTCTGGCTTTACAAGTGTTTATTTTGACAATTTCCTCACAAATCTGCAGGTCACTTTTACAGAGAAATCACAATTGAAAAAAAACTATTTTAAACGTTAAAAACTACCATATCTCGTGAATCTGACATGCCACGCCATAAATGAAAAATTACCAAAGATAAGTAGAATTTCGTTCAGATTTCGACAGTTTTAGTTTTATCTAAAAAGGCAGACCAAATTTTGGAAATGGTATGAATAGGTTGTGATTATTGTTTCAAGAATCATACGTATTAAAGTAGGTTGACGACTGAATGTCTAAACTATGTTCAAATATCAAAGACGACTTTTAAGTCGTCATGCTACTGTGATAGTTTGGGGAACAGTCTCTACCTAAACATTGCAAGTTGTCACTGTTTCCAATATCTAATCTGTTAATACTAATAGCTTTATTATCCGATTATTAAACCAGTTGGAGCGTATAGCTTATAGACTTAAAGTAAATATGCATTGTGTCCTAACAAAGTTTATGCTGTAAAGTTTATATATTTTAATTCTAAAAAATTCCGGAGTTTTGAATTTGCAAAAAAATCATTTCAATGACTTTTTTAAAGTTTTAATGTGAATAAAATCAATATGACAAAAAACAGGAAGTCAAGGAAAGTAAATATCCCCACCTGCCTCAGATTTATGATGTATATCATATTTTGTGACACACTCCTTTTTAAATGGAAGATTCTGAGTAGAAGCTGAAATATCCGAATTAAACCATATTTCTTATTTAGTTTCAAATTTAACGCATTCTAGATATGTACAATGTACATAGAGTACACTCAGTTATTCACAAAAGAAAAATTGTGTTAATTGAAAAAAATACGCGTGATATTGATATTATAAAAGATTTTAATATAAAAGGAATTGAGTCTTTGCCACAAACTCTGATTTTCTAATCACTATATCTTTGGAACCAAATTTTGCGGACCTTCGATATTTCAAACTATGAGTTCTGTTAAATCAAATAATCAGAGTTTAAAATATCAAAGGTTTACAACATCGGGTTCTAAAGATATTGTGGTTTAAATATTCGATTTTGTTACAAAGACTCAATTCCTTTGAATTCTTTAAAGCATGCAAAATTATTTTCCTTTTTTTAAATTATTGTTCACCTCTCCTTAAAAGCGCTTTATGCAATTAACGATTTTGTTTCTCTAAAAAATGACAACATGCGATCTCTGTTGAAATAAGTTATCTTTTAAAGAAAAAGCTGAAATGACACAATACTTTAATAATAAACTTTATTCCGATTTTTTTAGAATAAGCTGGGAGAGAAAATATAGCGTAATGCAATAATAACCAAAATAATTTTCTGACTTTCTTTCAAACTGATTTTTTCACTTTATCAGGCCACTGAACTGTCATTCATTTCCATCTCAAATATTTTTCTTCTTTTTGGCAATCATTGTTTCAAATTCTCACCAATGCAAATATTCAAAAATTATGAAATTTTCACATACAGACACCGGCCTTTGATCAGCCTTCAAATTGGCTAATTTGGGTTAATCTTCCCCCCTCTCACAAGGAAGTGAACCCCCGGATGCCATGAGCCTCCACCATGCAGACATGAGAGCCTCCCAGATTTTCTAAACAGACCAAGTCTCCGCCATGCAGTAAGAGCCTCCGCCAGTTAGTGGTTTATGAAACTTGAAACATTTCTTCCGCCAAAAGGAAGGCATTTTGAGAAAAAATTCTGATAGTAATTTTATTTGATATTTTATAATCTTTGATTTAAGCGATACCTTTATTGAAATTATTATTAGATTAAAGGGAGTGTTCGCGAAAAAATGAAAGGGGGTATAGGCTTAATGCGATAAAAAAGCGCTTTTGATCGCTTCTAATCTTACTTCTATCTGTTGCGTCTATAAGGAGAAAATTGTTAAAAACGACTAATACCGAAGAACGCAGTATCCATACAAATTCAGAAAAATGCAACTTACGACATAGACCGTAAAAAAATCTATTTAATTTCAAACAAATCATTTAGATATTACACCATATGGTTATCGATTATCTTTCGCCACATTTGTATAGTGGATTTTTCATAATATATTTTGATTTTATTTTTTAAAATAACATTTAGCTTCCAACTTGTTTTCGAACATTCCTGGAAAATATGAAAATGTCGTCTTCATTACCAAAAATCCTCGAAACAGGAATAAATGTTTTTATAAGTAACTCTCAGATCATAACAATTAAAACATATTATGAAAAATCAATTATATTCAAATGTGGCGAAAGATAATCGATGACCATAGGGTATAATATTTGAATGATTTGTTTGAAATTAAATAGAATTTTTTACGGTCTAAGTCGTATGTTGCATCTTTCTGAATTTGTATGGATACTACGATCTTCGGTATTAGTCGTTTTTCACAATTTTCTCCTTATAGACGCAACAGATAGAAGTAAGATTAGTAACGATCAAAAGGGCTTTTTTATCGCATTAAGCCTATACCCCCTTTCATTTTTCGCGAACACTCCCTTTAAGATAATCAAAAATTTGAAATTAACAAATAATCGTAATCTAAATATTTTTTATTATTGCCTGAATCAAAGATTAAAACAAAATAACTAAGTTCAATTCAGATATAAATTTCCAAATAATCTCCTTACTGCGTAAGAAATGTTTTATTGTAAAACATAGATCTTATAAACCACTTTATTATGAGTCAATTTAAGTTACAAATCATGACAATCAATAAACAACACTAATCTTAAGTAAAATCCTGTGCCAAAATGTTTAATTAAAAAAATGAAAAAATTTCCAGATTACATGAAAAAACCAAGAGTTATAAGGAAGCTGTTCTGTATAGCGGAGGCTCGTTTACTACATTGAGGAGGCTCTTACTGCACGGCAGAGGCTCGGTCTGCCTAGCAAATCTGGGAGGCTCCTGTCTGCATGGCAGAGGTGTAGCAAAAAGCGCGTAAACATGATATTTTGTAAACTTGCAGTACGTTGTACGTCATAAATGATTTAATGTTTTAAACTTAGTCATAATGAGATAATTCATTAAAACTGCGTTTCAATCGAATACTTAACATGATTAGCTGAAATCAGGGGACATACGTACTTAAATTACGCTATAAAAAATGGGCAGAGATAGATTAACTATAGAGGGTCACAGCGTCCGGGGGTTCCCTCCCTCCTCCCACAGTAAAGGAGCAAATAAATGAATATAAACTAGAAATAGTAGATTTCAATATTTTGTTTACATTATAGGAAGGTACTGAACGTTCTAGGCCGGAGGTTATAAAAAACTTTCAGTTAATTTCTTCAATAAGCTGCAGTACACGTTGTTTGTATACTGTATATTTCTTGTTGATTTTAAAGAAAGTTCATTGTTTACAAACAATATGTACTGCAGCTTATTGGAGAAATTAACTCAAAGTTTTTTTAACCTCCGGCCTAGAACGTTCAGTACCTTCCTATGCAAACAAAATTTTGGAATCTATTACTACAAGGTTGTAATGCAAGGAAACTTAATTGCAGTTGCGTAACTCTGCGTACATATTGAAACCAGTTCTCTCTGGGCGGAATTTGTAAACAAAAATAGATGCATCAGTGTTTGTTTAGTATCCGTGGAGGATAAAAGCATTTAATTTTGATAATTTTGATAATTCACATAATAGTTTCCTATGACCAGAATATTTCATTGATTACTTATGTAAAAGATGGATCACATGTCAGGCTTCAACACCCGTCTTGTGTTACCACCCAGTGACAGTATACTGCAGTACAAAAGATGCGTACACCTCGGAAATAACTTTCCTTGCATTAAATCCTTGGTTTATATCTTTATTATTTAAGTACAACAAGTACAACTGTACGCAAAACTTATGGAGCTTATTTAGGAGTTAAGTCAAAATTAGTTACTTTATATTAATATTAGTGATAATTAAGGTGTAGATTCACTTTGTGCGTTATTTTGTCCTTCAACAAATCAGAGAAGGGAGGGGAAGGGAGAGGAAGGGAGGGGAAGGGAGGCGAAGGGAGGGGAAGGGAGGGGGGATTTTAGAGTGGCCGCCGTTTCCCTGTATTGAGGATATTACTACCAATGCAAAAATCCCGATTCTAATAAAATTGTATCTTTTTGAATTCCTGGAATAAAACGTTGAACCGAACAGTACTAGGCTCCGTTCAACCCAGAGTTGATTGAGTCAGTATGAGTTCAAACCTCCGAGAGGAGAGTCGTGAAACTAGTAGCTCCAACCAACCGGAGAAAATTCTTCTCTCACAATCATCATACGTATTTCAAGAGCATATAGTCCTATCGGAGCAAAATATTGAAACTGATGCTAACTCTTGTCTGGGTCTAACTTCTGCCAACCCGTATAAAACTGATGAGCAAGGGTAAAACATGTATAGAAATATATTAAGCATATTCGGTTAATGTGAACGATATATAAGGAAAGAATAATTATTTTATCAATTTTTTATCTTTAAATGTGTGAAGCAAGTGGAATACATTTCTGACACCAGAGATATTTATTTACAGGAGAAAATTAATTTTTAGCTTCTCAATTTTAAAAACATAAGCGATGGAGGGGAAAGGGCCGTTTAAAGCTTTTTGAATAAAGAGTGAAAGGGGTCCGTTTATCATTTCCAGAGTTGTGAATTTGAATTTGACAAGTTGTAAGATCACATGGTCAAAACCGGAAAACTTCTGAGACGTGATTTCTTCGTTAGATATATATATATCTATATATATATACAATCAGATTATTTATATCTATATGATAGTTTTATCACATTTCACAATAAGAATATATAGGTTAGTGGAGGTTAGTTTTTAAATTGAATTTACGAGCTGAAATAGAAGCTTATCTTAGACACTGTATCAAATACGGTATCCAATGTCTTTTTATGTACACTGCAACAACTCGTTTCAAATAATTCAAATTCATGTTTTGTGATTGTTAACCAAAAAACTAGATGTTTACAAAATTTGCATATATTTTAAGAAAAAAGGCTGTTATTATTGAATACCCTAGATGGTTCAAATATGTTAACACTATTAAAATGTGTTGGTTTTGTATTTTCTTTTCTGGCAATCCATTATTAACAAATCTATTTTTGATTTAATGTTTAAATTGATTGCAACCTTACAGAAAATAATATTTTTCTGAGTTCTGATGTAATTTTAAAACTTATTTTAGTTAATACCAGTTGATTAAAATTATCGTAAACATGGAAGTTTAATGTAAACGGTGATCTCAAGAAGAAAGGTCACATGCATCAATATTTCCCTAATTTACCTAATCTAATTTATAAAGTTTGTTTAGATTAATTGATGATGTAAGCGATTTATGGGAGTGTAGTTCTACTAGTCGGTCAACCCAATCCAATCCTCAGATCCAAACCAATTCATACCAACCAAATCAAACCTTCAATGAACCAAACTGTCAACCAAACCTGACTCAGTGCAACTCTTCAAACCAGAGTAAATCAATTTCTCTGAAAGATCAAATTCAATCAATTTTGTTGGATGACGATCACTCCCAATCCAGATCCTCAATACTAGGCCACCAAGGTAAACATACAAACTTATAACTATCATGGTTTACACAGGGTGACACACAAAGAATGAGACTTCAGAGACGACTGTACGAAATTTCCCTCATTTCCCATCATTTAATTTAAAGAGTTTCAGATCGTCTTCACAGTCTCATCTTTTGTGGGTAAACCTGTATCCTATGAATGGATTCTATTAGTTACGTTTATAAGTAATGGTATGCTTAATATTTAGAACCGACGACCCATAATAGTTACATAATTTTACAATTCATAATATAATTACATAATTGTAATAAATCCTCATAAACACAAGAAAATATTGATAATTTTTGCCTGTTAATAGAAATGAAATATTCAAAAACTGCATTAAATGGGATTTTAATTGTATCATTTTAATCCAATGTTTTTTTAGAACTGTATCCTATGGATTGTATACTATATTTAAAACTGTATCCTATGGATTGTATACTATATTTAGAACTGTATCCTATGGATTGTATACTATGTTTAGAACTGTATCCTATGGATTGTATACTATATTTAGAACTGTATCCTATGGATTGTATATTATATTTAGAACTGTATCCTATGGATTGTATACTATATTTAGAACTGTATCCTATGGATTATATACTATATTTAGAACTGTATCCTATGGTTTGTTTACTATATTTAGAACTGTATCCTATGAATTGTATACTATATTTAGAACTGTATCCTATGGATTGTATTCTATATTCAGAACTGTATTCTATGGATTGTATACAATATTTAGAACTGTATCCCTATGGATTGTATTCTATATTTAGAACTGTATCCTATGGATTGTATATTATATTTAGAACTGTATCTTACGGATTGTATACTATATTTAGAACTGTATCCTATGGATTGTTAGAACTGTTTCCTATGGATTGTAAACTATTTTTAGAACTGTATCCTATGGATTGTATATTATATTTAGAACTGTATCTTACGGATTGTATACTATATTTAGAACTGTATCCTATGGATTGTATATTATATTTAGAACTGTATCCTATGGATTGTATTCTATATTTATAACTGTATCCTATAGATTGTATACTATACTCAGAACTATCCTATGGATTGTATTCTATATTTAGAACTGTATCCTATGGATTGTATGCTATATTTAGAACTGTATCCTATGGATTGTATACTATATTTAGAACTGTATCCTATGGATTGTATACTATATTTAGAACTCTATCCTATGGATTGTATACTGTATTTAGAACTGTATCCTATGGATTGTATACTATATTTAGAACTGTTTCCTATGGATTGTAAACTATTTTTAGAACTGTATCCTATGGATTGTATTCTATATTTAGAACTGTATCCTATGGATTGCATACTATATTTAGAACAAGAACTGTATCCTATGGATTGTATACTATATTCAGAACTGTATCCTATGGATTGTATATTATATTTAGAATTGTGTCCAATGGATTGTATTCTATATTTAGATCTGTATCCTATGGATTGTTTGCTTGATCTACCGTTCACTGATACTGAAGATCTACCCTGGCTTGAAACAATTCCCCCTCTAAATGAGAATTATTCAGGAAAAGCGCGAAAAATATTTTTATTAGCTGCAGCTTCTAGTTTAAAGGGAGTGTTTCCAAAAAATGAAAAGGGGTATAAGCTGAGCCTGAATTGAATTTGATATTGATCGCTACTAGTTTTACTTCCATTTGTTGCGTCTCTAAGGAGAAAATGGTTAAAAACGACTCATGCATTATCTCACCTAGATCGTAGATAATTTAATTAAATTTAAAACTACAAGTAATGATTGTAGAATTCACTTCTGGGTATTCCTATGAAGTATTAATATAATAATCTTGTTTTTTTACGATGTATTTTGGAGGAACATCTATTTTTTTCAAATCGTTATCAATATCAAAGCTAAAAGCTATGCAAGCACATCAGCAATATTTTATTCGCTTGATTTAGAAGGTTTAAGTGAGGTGTCAAAAAGAAAAAGAAAAGATCTAGGTGAGAAAAGATTTTTTTTCCAGTGATGGGTTAATTACAATGCACATTTTACAGGATGTTTCAGTCATCAACTTACTTTATTATGATTAATGAAACAGTAACCAAAACTTTCTCCTAGTCTCCTGGCATTTTCAAAATGTGGTCTGCAGCCTTTGTATTTTTATTTTTACCGGAGATAATAAGAATATCGTTCAGATTTAAATTTCGTTAAAAAAAACCAAAAATTGTCGAAATCTGACCGAAATTCTTCATATCTCGGGTAATGAAAGCACAAACAGACAGACAGAATTTTGGAAATGCCAGGTCTAGGGGTATTATGTGATAATCAATTATAGAGTTTTAATTTGAATTTAAAATTAGGTTGACAAATACAAGCAGCAAAATACATTCAAGACGACCTACAAGTTGTCTTGCCACGGTCATGTTTCGTGGGACACCCTGTACTACAGTACTACATTTTAACCCCCCCCCCCCCGCATATTTTCGCTACTGCTGGCTCCATTATAATATACACTTCCCCCGAGGGAGAAGAATAAGATAAAACACGTGTTATCTGTATGCAGACATATGTATGGGGGGGGGGGAGAATAAAAAGATTGGATTCATCAAAAAACAAACTTGCAATTGCACGGAATCGTAAATATAAGAAAACAGACAGAAAAAAATCCGTACAGTCGTCTCTTGGGTCTCTTCTTTTGTTAGTAACCCAGAACAGTGTACTTTTTATGCACATAACTAATTTTCCTTATTCATTTTTTTAATGTTTTTCAATCTTTATAAATTGTTGTGTTTTAATAGCTTTATCCTACTTGACTGCACATGCATAATGCACAATAAATGTGTAATCATTTTCCGTTTTCCTAGAACCTGGAGATATTTGTCTCAGTACAGATATATAGACATGAGACAGGAGTGGGAGGGAACCCCTGGCCGCCATTAGCCTCCCATCATCAAGATTTTCATCATCAAGCCTCCGCTATGTAGCATAAATTTCATACTAAAACTTCACAAGTTTTTTACGCGAAAAGGAAGATATTAAAAAACAAATTATAAAGTAAATTTGATTAGATTTGTTTATATCTTTGATTTTAAGGATGCCTTGTTTTGAAAAATTATTTATGTTTAGATTAGAAAATTTAACAAACAGGTATTTCTTACGTCAAAGATTTAATAAATCAAATCAAATTTGTTTTCATAATATCTTCCTTTTCCCGTTGAAAATAGGCAGTAACAAATTTATATAAAATTTATACTGCCTAGCGGAACGCTCACTGCTGCATAACAAATCTGTGAGGCTCATGATTGACTGGGGTTCCCTCCCTAGATAAGAGACAGAAGAATTAGATTGACTGGGGTTCCTTCCCTAGATAAGAGACAGAAGAATTAGATTGCCTGAAGTTCCCTCCCTAGATAAGAGACAGAAGAATTAGATTGCCGGGGGCTCCCTCCCTAGATAGGAGACAGAAGAATTAGATTGCCAGGGGCTCCCTCCCTAGATAGGAGACAGAAGAATTAGATTGAGTTTCACCTTGCTAACAATTTGCTTCTATTTAGCCAGTAAAGTATTAGCATAATTCAAATATATAAGGAGAAATATAAAGGGTTTGGATAGAAATCAAACTGAATAGAATTCCTTATTTTTTGTAATTGAAAACATACATATTTTAGACAAAGACGACCTAATGCGGACCCTTAGCTGTGATAGTGGGTTCACTGAATCAGAAGAAAATGAATTTTCTCCGTTTCAGGAGTATTTAATTCCAGGAAGGTCTTTTTCATCGCAGGACTATTTCTCCACCTTCCAGGATACACTGGAGAAAATGGGAGAGGAGAAGGAGACTATGGAGGATGGAGAACAAGAAATAAATGAGGATTTTTCCCTGGATTTTCTTCTTGAATCCTCAAGGTTGGTGGAAGACCATAGTCTTGAGAATCTAGAAACTAAACCTGGCAGAGACTCTGAGATTTGTGAAACTGATTGTGATATAACTTATTGTGATTCAACGACAATTAGTTCAAGTCCCTCCTCTCCCACACATTCTTCTTTTATTCCGTCGTCCCCTTCTTCTTTTACTCTACAATCATCATCACACTTTGCATCCTCCTCTTCCCCCCTTTCTACAGGGTTCTCATCTCTTCTTCCATGTACTCCCCCCTACTCCCCGCTCTCAAGCTCCCCCAGCTCCTCATTTAGCCTGGACTCCTGGTCTTCGGATGAGTGGAGAGGAGAAGGAGGATGGAGAGATGGAGAATGGAAAGGGGAAATAAAAGAGTATGATTGGACAAATAGAAAAGAATCATTAGAGGTAGATCTTTTCTTTTATCGCTTTTTGAACGTCATCAACGACACATGATTCCCTAACAAATGGGTTGTTACGTGGCATAACGTCCCTTGGGACAGAAATGTAAAAAACCACCCGCTCTACAAAGTTTTCATGAATAAATCGCGCATTTTCATTATTCGAATTATTTAATATATGAGGTGAACTACTATAGGTGCTTGGGGTCAACCTGGAAACTCTGATGTCTGTTGAGAGTGTCAATATCAAGATAGAAGATGATTTGGAAACTATGTCAGCAGTTCAAAGTATCACATCAGCAGGTATAAAGCAAACAATGTGGTGGCTTACGGAAGCGGTGGGTAGTTTTGGTTGGTCTTAGATACTTTCCCATAGGCATTTTTCCAAGGGCAACATCCCAAGCGACAATTTCTCAAGTGGTAACCTTCCAAATGTAATTTCCCAAGCGGCAGCTTCCCAAATGTACATTTAGGTTAGGCCTTGTGTGGTGCCGCAGGCTGCGATTGGGGCTGAGCGCTGCGACTAGGAGGGGTTAAGGGGCCGAGTGCTGTGGCTAGGAAGGGTTAAGAGCCGAGCGCTGCGACTAGGATGGGTGAAGTGGCCGAGCGCTGTGGCTAAAACAGACTAGTGAGCGATCGCTGCAGTTTGAACTGAGTTGGAAAGTTGCCGTTTGGGACACTGCACTATACATTTGGGAAGTTTCCGTTTGGGAAAATACCCTTTGACAGCTGCCGCATGAAAATTGCACATTGGGAAAGTTGCCACTTGGGAATATACCCGTTGAAAGGTGCCGCTTGGGAAAATGCCCCTTTGTATTTTATTGGGATATATTTGCCTGTAAAAAAATACTACCAAAAATCTTAGTCTACTAAAATCTCATGAATTAATTTCTTATGTTTAAACCACTCTTGATTTGTATAGATCTTTGTCAAAAATATTAGGATTGTCAATTGGTTGAAAGCATGCACTGTTGTCGAATTTAAAATTGTTGTTTGGCTAAAACAAAACATGTTCTGTTCTTGAATGACATTAAAAAATAACCCCCCCCCCAAAAAAAAAAAAAAATAAAAATAAAATAGAATCACAATTTTCAGATCCTGTCCGCCATTTTGAGGAAAAGTTCCCTATCCGAAGGAAAACGACAAGTGAAATAGGATATAATCTACATATGGCTTGTCACGACTACACTCCAAACATTGGTGGGAAAGCAGTTTCATCAGTGCGCCAACATTCTTATAGGTAAATAATTCGAAGATTTCCAGCACTCATTATCTTTTATGTCTCGAAATTGGTATTGGGATTGCTATTTGTATTGCAATTGCTATTGCTATTGCTATTGATATTGCTATTGCTATTGGTATCGGTATCGGTATCGATATTGGTATCGCTATAATCGCTATCGATCCTATTGCGATCGGTATCGGTATCGGTATCGCTATTTTATTCCACAAGCAATGCCGGGCCCTTCAGCTGGGTGTTATTATTATTGTTATTGTTTTCTTGCAAAAAACCAATTTTTTTAGAAAGCGCGGCCAGCCAAATTTAGATGGAGACTACCTTGCTCATGGGACCGGAATACCCAGAAGAAATGCTCCACCTAAGACGCACATTAAGGTATGATATCAATAATATTTGTCATCAGTATAATTAAGTTTTCCCCATTCGTGTTAAAATATTTAATTACTAGGCTTTCAGGGCTCTTAGCGTCCATATTCTATCTCGTTTTTAAACATTTTCTCTTTGTATAAATTGTAAAACAAAAACAAATAAAAGTTCGCGGATTTTATAAAATGAATTCGTGGAGTTTCAAACTTTAATGAAAATCCAATTTAGTCGGAGGCTAATTTTTGAATTTTTGAACATCAATAACCCTTCTCTGTGGTCATGAGGTCCCACACAAAATTTGGACCCGAATGTTTTAGCCGCTTCGACGTTAATAGGATACAAATAAACAGACAGACAAGTAAATTATTTATTTACAAGGCTTTTAGCCTTTAGGGCTCTTCGCGCCCATCTTCAATTTCATTTGTAAACATTTTCTCTCTGAAAACATTGTGAAACAAAACAAAAAATTTCGCGGATTTTATTAAAACATATCGTGGATTTTCAAAATTTTTAAAAATCGATTTTTGTTAGAAGCAAATTTTTGAAAATTCGATCATCCTATAAACTTTCCCTGGGGTCACGCTAGGTCCCACAACAAATCGGTTCAGCTGTTTTGCAGACGTTTATCGGATACACACAGACAGACAGACACCCAGACAAACAAAGTAAGAATAGAAGATATATATTAAGTATTGATCTCTGTTTGTTTGTATTTTATAACGATCAGGAATCCTTGAACCGATTTGCCTCAAATTTGACGGAGAACCTCTGAAGCACCACAAAATTCTTATAAAGACAACTTTGTTTCAATGCATAGCTGGATTCTCTAGCTAGTAACCAATAGATTATATAGTTCTAACCGTTGATTTTAACTTGATTAATTAATTGTAAATTAACTCATTCTTATCATACATGAGTAAAATACACGGCTTTGTGGGTCGAGAATATTGAATTTCAGTAATAGTAAACTTTTGTAAATTCAAATATATCATCAATTCGCAGAGATTCGTGTCTTGGTAGGATATTATTAACATATAAAGGGTGTCCCCCGAAAAACGGCTTAAAGGTCGTCTTTGATCGGTGAAAAAATTTACGTTATTTATCCGTAAACTAAATTTAAGAAGTAAAATTCTAGGTAAAGGCAAGGGTGTAATGCAAGGAAAGTTAATTGCGGTCGTGTAAACTCTGCGTACATATTTAAACCAGTTCTCTCTAGGCGGAATTTGTAAAAAAGAATAGATGCATCAGTGTTCGTTTAGTATCCGAGGAGGTTAAAAGCATTAAATTTTGATAATTTTGATAAATCACATAATAATAGTTTCCTAGCTATGACCAGAATATTTCATTGATTTTTTTATGTGATAGATGGATCCCATGTCAGGCTTTGACATCCGTCTTGTGTTTACATTACCGCCCAGAGACAGTACACTGCAGTCCAAAAGATGTGCACATTTCTGAAATAACTTTCCTTGCATTACATTCTTGGGTAAAGGCAGCTCCCACTTTTCGTAAACCTCAGGACTAGGAGGATTTTGTGGTTATTGTTTTAAGAATAATTAATGTATAAGAGGGTTGACAACTGATTGTCACAAATAAATCCAAAGATCAAAGATAACTTTCAAATCGTCTTGCTACTGTCCTGTTTCGTGGGACACCCTGTATTATCTTTGCTTCTTTTATAAGGAGGAAGACAAAGTATTTCCTTGTGATCATCCTGGATGTGGAAAACTTTATGCCAAAGCATCACATCTGAAAGCACACATGAGGAGGCATACAGGTAAACCACATTTATATAATTCAAATAATATTAAAGATTTTAAAAACTATTTTATTTCATTATAAATACTGATAAGAAATTTATAAATCTAAAATGGTGGTCCATAAAAGATATTTTTGATAATTTTTCATTTGTGAATACTGAATATATTTTCTCATTTGCAACGACTAACCCTTTAATAATATTTTTTTTTTATATAATCAATTATATGAGCTATTCGTTCAAATCGTTTGTTAATCGTTTTATATGCACTTAATTTATTCTGCAAAGAATATTTATCATCTAAATATGTATCTACAGTCCTTGTCGTATATATTAATATAATAAAGACGACTTTCTATTTAAATTTTGATTTCTACCGAGCATTCAAGCAGCAAGGAAAAACAGAAAGATATAAAAACAAATATTACCTGTCCATTAACAGCTGATTTTTTACTTGTTAACTTGTAATTTGAAAAAAAGCTTGTAAGAAGTCAAAACTTAAATAGAAAAGTCGTCGTCATTGTATTGTTATAAACGCCGACTACTTAAGGAGAAAAACCGTTTGTTTGTAACTGGTCTGGTTGTGGTTGGAGGTTTAGTAGGTCAGATGAACTAGCTAGGTAATCCCTACCTTTCTAATGCTTTAAAAACCTCAAATTTTTTACAGGAAAGGGGTAACGAAGCACCCAAAAAGCCAATTAAAAATATATATGTTTCAGAAACCAGTTGAAAATTCTGTTGAAAATTTCTCCTCTTTAGTCATAATTATTTCCAAATATTTTAATGATTATTAAGTTGGAATGAAATTATCTGAATCTTCTGAAAATCCCTCTGACCGTTAAAATGATTTAATACATTACATTACATTGCATTGCATTGCATTGCATTGCATTTCATTGCATTACATTGCATTGCATTAAAATAATTCGAAAAATTATATTTCAGACATCGCCGATCTCACTCTGGAGTTAAACCTTACAAGTGTCAAGTACGTTCATTTAAAAAGGAAATTTCATTAAATAAATGACAATCGACTAATATTGTTAAATTCAGGTGTGTAACAAACGGTTTGCAAGATCTGATCATCTAGATAAACACATAAAAATTCATAACAAGGATCACATACCATCCTCACTCTGTAACAATAGGCATTTCAGATAAATTATAGTTGGTTATTTTAAATTAGGCTCAATATTTTCTCTGAACTAAAATTCTAAGGCATTGTGTGATTGCCCTGATCACTCATCAGTTCCTTCTTTCATTCAAATCAATAAGATTTGCAAAAAAGTTGCCTTTTTCGAAAGAAAACCCCTGCTGAGCTGGAAACTTTAGAATTGATACCTTTAATAAGGCTCCAGTACAAAAAGTAGAATTACAAAAAGTAGAATTACAAAAAGTAGAATTACAAAAAGTAGAATTACAAAAAGTAGAATTACAAAAAGTAGAAATACAAAAAGTAGAATTACAAACAGTAGAATTACAAAAAGTAGAATTACAAAAAGTAGAATTACAAAAAGTAGAATGGCAAAAGGTAGAACGATCATAAAGTTGAAGATTAAAAGGTAACAACAATCAAAAGGTAAGAACGCTCAAAAGCTAAGGGAGAACATACAAAAGGTAGAACTTATAAAATGTAGAATGTACAAAAAGTAGAACGTTTTAAAGGTAGAATGTTCCAACTTTAATGTTACATTATAATTTGTTATCACAGAAGACAATTTTTTGGCCAAACGCTGTGGCCTCTTAAATGTTAAATAATGTGCGGTATCTCTCCTTATTTTGGGTAAAGCTAGGCTATGCCAATTTCCGGGCCGAGCGCTGCGGCTAGGATGGGCTAGGGTTCCGAACGCTGCGACCTATTAAATGTTGAATAATGAGCTTTCTCTCACCTTCTTTTGGGTAAGGTTGTGTTAAAAAAACTTCTGTGCCAAGCGCCGCGGCTAGAACAGGCTATTACTGTTACAAAATTTAAAGAAAAGTGCTAAATAAGAAGCGTGAGATATTCAGCAAAAATCAAGAATCAAAATTTAAGAGGCTGCAGCGCTTGGCTCCATAGCCTATCCTAGTCGCAGTGCTCGTCCCAGACATTCTCTTAACCCAACATAATATGTAACATTTTGTAATTTCGACATTTTGTACTAGTCGATTGTGACCAACCGCTTTATTTTGAATTCCAACAAGAAATACAGTTTAATGAATTTTTCAAAACAGTTTTGCTGATTTTACAATAAAAGTGGAACATTTTCTTGCTTCTCAAATTGGATAATTCTACTTTTTCAACATTTTACCTTTTGTAATTCTACCTTTTGTAATTCTACTTTTTGACCGTTTTACCTTTTTCTATGTTCTACCTTTTGTATGTTCTACCTTTTGTAATTCTACCTTTTGTAATTCTACCTTTTTTAATTCTACCTTTTGTAATTCTACTTTTTGTAATTCTACTTTTTGACCGTTTTACCTTTTTCTATGTTCTACATTTTGTATTTTCTACCTTTTGTAATTCTACCTTTTGTAATTCTACCTTTTGTAATTCTACCTTTTGTAATTCTACCTTTTGTAATTCTACCTTTTTTAATTCTACCTTTTGTAATTCTACCTTTTGTAATTCTACCTTTTGTAATTCTACCTTTTGTATGTTCTACCTTTTAACCATTCTACCTTTAGTAATTCGACCTTTTGTAATTCTACTTTGTGTAATTCTAACTTTTGTAATTCTACCTTTTGTAATTCTACCTTTTGTAATTATACCTTTTGTAATTCTACCTTTTGTATGTTCTACCTTTTAGCCATTCTACCTTTAGTAATTCGACCTTTTGTCATTATAGCTTTTGTAATTCTACCTTTTGTAATTCTACCTTTTGTAATTCTACCTTTTGTAATTCTACCTTTTGTACTACCTTTTGTAATTCTACCTTTTAACCATTCTACCTTTAGTAATTCGACCTTTTGTAATTCTACCTTTTGTAATTCTACCTTTTGTAATTCTACCTTTTGTAATTCTACCTTTTGTACTGGAGTCCTTATAATACCGATCGCTTAATCTGAATATTCACTAAAAAATTTTAAAGTTCCCGGCTTCTAATTGGCTGTTTCGGATTCTGCATACGTCACTCTGATATGTTGAATTGTAGACACTTTCCTAAAGATTAAAATAATCTTAAGATTAACAAAAAGAGTAGATCAAGCATTTATCTTGATATTCACAATATTCTAAAGTTTTCAGCTCGGAGCATTATTCATAAAAGACATATATATATATTATTCTTACTGTTTCGAGTAATGTATATACATTTCAATTCACCACTTTAATGATGAATATTTTTATTTCTTTAAGTAATGCTGATTAATCTGAATATGTTCAATTAGGCGACGAGGGCTCATCGGGAGTATCGGGGGGACTCATTCACAGATTATTCTAAAACCGCTTTTTTAATCCAAACTACGAAATTTTATATTCTTGTATTGAGTCAATAATAAATAAGGAGTGTAGGGGGTCTCAATGTAAAGGTACTGGAAACATAATTTCAAGTTACCGTCCATTTTTTAAGTGGCATTGTCCGATTCACAATTCCCACTAAAAAGCTCTGTCTGATCAAGTATGGATTATATATTCAAGTTTTTGTTTATGAAAACTGATTATTTTCATTTGTGGTTTCTGTTATGGCTGTCCAAGTTTAAGAATTAAATTATATTTTATTTCTCAACTAAGTTACAAAGGCTTTTGGAATACTTGGCATGCGGCTTCATTATGTTTCGATGAGACTCCCTTTATTTATTGTTTCTATAAAATACTCATTTAAATATACCAAAAACAACTTAAATGTAAAGTTCAAATGATAAATTCACTATTTTTAATGTTTCAGCCAGTCCAAAAAGCTGAAGAAAGTAAAACAGTTTGCGATAAAAAGACAAAATCTTAGAGATTGTGTTTATAGTGTGAAATTTTAAAACGTAGTTTTCTTCCATATTTTGCCGACGAATATTTTTTAGATCGTTATTTACAATTTAAATTTTATTGCTAATCTTTTTATGTAAACTTTCATGTTAAGTTTATGTGTTGAAATAAACGATATTGTTAGATAAAAACATATTAAAAATTCCATATTTTCATTTAAGGTATACCAGGTGCTTACGAAAATTTAAGTGATGAATGGGCGCTCATGTCGAGCTTAAGTAAAATAAACTGTAGATTGAACTCATTTACGTTTTCGATATAACTACTCTTAATGTAGAGGTATTGAGAGGAATACAATTGTTTTGATTTTTAACTTGGAACTGGATATATTTACTTGTCCTGTATACTTTGTCTAAAAACCGAAACTATAGGAGCTACGAGGTCACAAAGTTGTGCCAGTAATATAACATGAAATTGACCTTCTTCTCCTGACTAGTTTGCAGGTCGATACATTACAGGAAATTTGTAACCCTCTCTTAAAACGACTATTTGCCTCAATTTTCGTTTCTCCAACTTTTAGGACCGGAGGATGTTCCCCCATTCCCTCCCTTCTAGTGATTAGAACACAATGTATGTGGGGAATGTGGGTTTTGTTCGGTCAAGTTGTCATTTGAGAAATATACTTACAATTGGGCATTTTGAGGTTTGCTCTGAAACATTTAGTTGTTTTTTTGACGTTTAAAAGTGTTTTACAAAAAAGTGATTTAAAAAATCGATTATTTTGCTTTAATCACAATTATGTGATTTTCCCCCGCTGATCGAAGATATTAGGAAGTCGACTTTCGTACTTGACTTTCTTCATAATTTTTAAAAGTGAAAAGAATTCTTTTTGAAGATAAAAAAGTAATAAAATTTAAACAAATAGTGACAAATTACAATTTACAAACTATCATCCGATTTGTTAAATTACCCCAACGGCTGGCATTTTCGAAATGTAGGCTCATATTCTTGCTCTCAAAACTAACATCAATAATATTCTGTAGTTTCAGATTGAATAGAGCATAATAACTCTGTAACATTTTATAAACAAACAACAAATTTACATTTTTAAGTACGCTTTTAAAAACATACTTTAAACAGCCATTAAATTGCAATTAAAGGGACTGTACGCGTTATTTTAAGTGAACCTCCAGTTAAAGATGGCAATGTCCGATTTGCAGAGGTATCTTGGAAACCTTAATTCTGTCAAACACGTGGAAGATACCTTGGTTTTCCTAACTAAAAAAAGTGTTTGTTTTTTTCTGTGTGTTTCTCCATTGCTTCTTATAAACGAGAAATGCGCAAGTCACTTTCGCAGAAAAATAAACAGTTTAAATAAACAAAAGCATTGATATCTAAACAATTCATTTGATATCAAAATAACTCAATTGTCTTATTTGCATGCCCTGCAAACATTTAGTCTCCAACAAATCGATGACGAACATATGAAGTCCAGAATTAAAAGCCCGACTTTTCGCCATCGGCATTCGGCACATACTGGCGGTAAAATGTTTCCTGGATGATGGGTCACTTGAAACTATAACGCTTACAGTCCCTTTAAGGATGAAGAATATCTTGAAGATGTTAAAACACCGTGACCAGGCACTCATTTTAGATAATTGGATGTCTTCCTAGATAAATGGATGTCGTGTGCAGAGTTGTGATGTCATAGAATTATATTGGAATATATTGGTTTTGGAGATTTAGATCTATCCAGAAAAATTGGTATATCCAATAATCGTAATTACTCGGAGCAAGTAAGGTATTTTCATGAATCAAAATTGTAAAGTATGTTATACACAGAAGACGACATTTTTTTATTTCTAGAAATTGTCATATTCAATGGGACACACTGTGCAAGACGTGCATTTTTTTTGACAAGACCTTATTTATAAATTATAATTTACTGCACCGTAGACGAAAAATCTTAAATTAATGTTTATAAGAAAAAAAACAAGAAGTACTTCTTTATTTTTCTCTTAAATGGAATAATTTTTGCTTTGTTACTGTTGAGTATAAACGCATTTTTAATTGGCAACAAACAATCAAAGATTTTTTTTAGGAAAACAATTGGATTTTTTTCTGAAAAATAACCACCTCAAATGAAACTTTTATGCATCTAGCTAAAAAAAGATTTTTTTTTACATTAACCAATAATCTTTAATGTATGAGCTAAAACAAATGTCGACAGTTTGGCTAACCAAAACTATATGATCGCCGCAGGCTACTGAACAAAGACAGTAAAAAGGGGGTAGCAGAGCCCTTTCTTTAATTTTCGGTTTAAAAAGTACCATTTTTAAAGTACTTTTTATTAAAGGTCGGATATATTTTCACATTTTACTCCTAAACCCTGGGTACAACTCCAAACTCTTTGGTGAACTCCAAAACCCTGGGAGTAATTCCAAAACTATGAGAGCAGTCATTCCTTCCCTCCTTCAACTTCCTAGGTGTTATTCTAACAAGTAAAAAAAACATTCACTTGAAGATATATTTTTGTATTTTTTGGTTAAATAATTTCTTCAATAAAACTTTAATGAATTTGAAAGAAATCATTAACTTAACAGTAATATTGGCTCAGTAACATCTCGCCATATAAAATTTCGCCATATAACATCTCGCCATATAACATCTCTCCATATAACATCTCGCCATATAACATCTCGCCATATAACATTTCGCCATAACAACTTGCCTTATAACATTTCGAGATATAACAACAACTCGCCATATAAAAACAAAAAACAAAATAATAAATTTTATTTAGTAGAAAGTAGTAGTTTATAAGTAAATATTTATAAATATATAAAATTATAAACATTGTTCAGCTCATCTAGAAGTAAGAATTAAATTTAGTGTAGGAGAAGTTGTTTATGTCAACCAAAGAAGGTTTCATCCGCAGAGTTGTAGCATGTATGCAGAACTCCCGACATTGTTAGAATTACTGTATTTGCGAATTTTTGGCTTTTGATTCGTGGATTTTCTGGTATAATTTCATTTACACTACATTTTAATTTTTAAATTTATATATAGGCAAGGTGTTGTTATTTGGCGAAATGTTACTTTGGCGAGTTGTTACTTAGGCAAGTTGTTATATGGCGAAATTTTATATGGCGAAATGTTATTGTATTGATTTCCCTTGGAATGACCGGTTTCAAACTACTCTCACTATATAAACTGTGTTTTCTTTAATTCTTTATTCTTTTGATGTTATTTGGTAGAAGAGAGTTTGGATGTTTAACTGAAATAGATTGAAGTATTATAGCAACAATATAACATTGATAAGATCAATTTTTATAATTATTTCATATAATTACTTGCACAAATGTCATCTATTAAAGAAAGAAATCAAAGTAAGTTTACATCAGCGTCCATTGTTGGTTTAGGCCTTACTGAAGCTATACTCAGGATCCAGGCATACATAAGGGTGTTGGTATTCTGGTTCTTGGTAAACAACATAAATCCAGAAAACTTTAATTTCATACATGCATTCCGATTCAATCAGCGCCTGATCCAATCAGGGTTCAGTCATGTGCTTGGTGTTTATTCTGAACCAATAGAAATTGTATGGCGATTGGGGGTAGCATCTATCTTTCTATTGTTTTTGTTACGCGAGCCATGCTGCGTGTAGAAAGTCTGTTTGTCGCCCCTGCGTATTTCTGAGTTTCTCCTGAAGATCTGTACGGAATGTATTGTGAAAAAAACTAGTTTAGGAACTGTTTACAGTCCGACTGCGCAGACGCAAGATTTCTCGCGGAGTAGTAGTTAAATTTATATTCAGTATATGTTTATTCGTTTTGCAAGTATTTTCCGTGTTCAGAATTCTGGGATCACCGTGATTGAAGGCTCAGAGAAATAAACGTTCGGAACCTTACTATCTTCCTTTTTATTATGAAGAGCGTTGAGAGAAGGGAGTCTTACGATCCAATCCTGAGAAATACCACACGGTACATATATTAGGTCTTTAGGGAAATCGCTAAGTAGCGAAACAGTTTTCATCAACCAATTAGAGCTAGAGATTAATCCTTAAATCAGCACTAAACAGTTCCATTTAGTTTTACTCAAGTGAAAAAAGAGGCACCAAATCTTCTTTTAGACATTGACATTTTAGACATTCCAAACAGCAATGGGAATTTTTTTTTTTTAAACCAGAGCATTTAAAAGACATGATTTTCTTAGTTTTCAATGAATTTAATTTTGATACATGATTTATTTAATAATTACTTTTTTAGGCTTTTGTTGATTCTGGATACTATGCTGTAAATGTTTATGATTTGTCAAAAAGAGCTAAGTAAAGAAATTATATCTAATTAATCAGAAAATTACCATAACACAGAGAAAATCAAGAAAATGAAACATCCTTGTTATTGTAACTGAACAATGATTCCTGTAAACTGTAACTTGCAAATTTATGCTCAAAGACAATTAAGAAAATTTTCAGAATGTACATACAGGGTGTCCCACGAAACATGACAGTTGGTAAATAGTTATGAAAGTCGTCTTTCATATACTTTATTAGATATTAAAGGCTTTTTGCAGTTTATTAAGTTAAAAATATCTTTTTCCGAAATTTATTTTACTTTCAAGCCAATTTACCATAACATGACTCCCATATAATATTTGTATTATTGTCTAATTTGTATCAAACAACTTAACAAATTATGGAAAAAGAAATTCTTAACTATTCACCAACGGTCATGTTTCGTGGGACACCCTGTAGGAAACTGCTATCAATTCCTCATTGTTTGAGAATCCCTCAGTCCAAGGAGAGGTTAGTGACAACCCTCATTCCAAAGAGAGATCCGTGAGAACCCCTCAGTCCAATGAGAGGTCCATGGGTTCCCCTCAGTCCAAGGAGAGTTCCGTGAGAACCCCTCAGTCCCAGGAGAGGTCCGTGGGAACCCCTTAGTTTAAGGAGAGTTCCGTGAGAACCCCTCAGTCCAAGGAGAGTTCAGTGAGAACCCTTCAGTCCAAGGAGAGGTCCGTGAGAACACCTTAATCCAAGGAGAGGTCCGTGAGAACACCT